CATCACAGCTCACAGCAATCTCCAGCTCTTGGGCTTAGGCGATTCTCTTGCCTCAGCCTCCCAAGTAGCTGGGACTACAGGTGCCTGCCACAACGCTTGGCTATTTTTTTGTGGTTGCAGCTTGGACGGGGTTGTGTTTGAACCCGCCACCCTCGGTATATGGGGCCAGGGCCCTACTCACTGAGCCACAGGCACCGCTCAGTACTTTTCTTTTATTGAGACAGAGTCTCACTTTGTCACCCTCAGTAGAGTGCTTTGGCATCACAGCTCACAGCAACCTCAAACTCTTGGGCTCAAGTGATTTCTCTTGCCTGAACCTCCCTAGTAGCTGGAATTACAGGTGTCCACCACAATGCCCAGCTATTTTTGTTTGTTTATTTGTTTGTTTAGCAGGCCCAGGCTGGGTTTGAACCCACCAGCCCCAGAGCATATGGCCAGCGCCCTAACCACTTGGCTATGGACACCCAGCCTGGGACGTTAATATTTTTTGTGACAGAAGGCTATCTTTCCCACAGCATGGGAAAGACCATGGCTGTCATGGACAAGAAGGGAGATGTGCACCCCCTGCTGAAGCTCCACATATGCCAACTCATCTCCCAGTGCAAATTCCTCCCAGCACGAAGTCTTGAGCTCTACCTTCTGTAGGCATTCCAGGACCTTAGTCATGTACTCCTGTTGGCATCTGTATGGCCTGAATGGGAAATCCACTGTCACACCATTCAAGATTATCTTGGGCATATCAGCCTGTTATCAGGAGTACACAGAACATTGAGAAAAAATGTCCTCTGAACATCTCAGGGTCTCAGCCACTCCAGGTAAGTGATGCTGGCACCTGGCACCAGGATACAACGTTGATCTCTGCAGAATCCCTCTGGCACAAACTTTGGGAAGACAATAAGACTCTGTTTGCAGACATCCTGCCAGAGGTACCCAGCCAAACCATACCTTACCAGGCATTTTAGTAACTCCCTCCAGTGGAGACTATCATCACAAGGAGATACTGAGTGAGTGAACACTGCCTTGTTTTCCCACCCACACAACTCCATCCTACTCTGGAAGAGGTGACCAGGCTCACAGAAATAACAAGAGCCCCAGCTGGTTGTGGTTTTACAAGCTCTACCTGCAATAATTCAATTACGTCCACAAGAGCAGGAGAGGTTGAAACCTAGCAGCACCCTTCCCGGCCTGGCACACAAGCCATGTAGAATGAAGTGTCTAAGCCTCCGACCCCTTTGTCTCCGACCCAGTGCTCCCCGCAATGGTTGGGGACCATTCTCCATCCGGCCTAGGTAGACAACTAGATGTAGCCAAAGTAGCGAAAGTACCCTGTGGTGCCAATCCGTGCAGCCCTCAGGTCACTCATCTCTAGACTTCAGACTCATCTGAAAATTGGGACTAACAGACCAGACGCCTGAACACTGACTGACGGCCCTTCCCCCTGGCCTCGACCCCAGCCACGTAAACCACCGCCAAGCACCGAGTTCCACTGACGCGCCGGCGCCCAGAACCTACGAGCGTCAGGAACTACCGGCCCCAGAGCGCAGCGCGGCCCCGCAGCGGCCTTCCCAGGAGCGGTAGTTGCGGAAGCGCGGCGCGCCGGCGAGCCGCTCGGAAAGGCCCCGTTGCAGGATCTCTGAGGCTTACGGCTCAGGATCTCTGCCGACCCCGGGGGAAGAGCCGCCACTCTGTGGTCCGCCGTCAGCCAGTTCGGAATTGGCCCGCCCAAGGCCCAGCATTTCCGTCCCCACTTCCGTTCCGATCTTCTGTGCTCCGGGCAGAAACCATTCCCCAGTCCGGGGTCCCGTGTGCTATCGCGCTCCCGGAGGTCCTCGAGGTCCTTTGTGCGTTCAGTGTGCAGCGCGTTGGTCCTCCTTCTGTTGTTATCGAACTCAGTAAACGCTGTTTTCATCGCCCGCAGGCAGAACCTGGGGTTCGCCGTCTTTTTCTTCCAAGTCATCTTCCAGGGGGGTCTCTGAAAGTACATGTAGTGAGAATAAGATGGGAGTCAAGACAGGCTAGGACGGACAAGACACAGCTGATTTGGTCCTTTTAGGTCAGCGGTTCTCAACCTGTGGGTCGCGACCCCTTTGTAACAATGAAAATACACCGTGGCATTAGGAAGATTGAGAATCACTGGTTTAGGTCCTGACCTTCACCCCTTCTCCCATTCTTACTGTTTTGTAAATGTAGCTCCCACCCTAAAGATGCTTATCTTGGCTCGGCGCCTATAGCTCAACCGGCTAAGGCGCCAGCCACGTACACTTAAGGTGGTGAGTTCGAATCCCCAGCCCGGACCCGCCAAACAACAATGACGGCTGCAACCAAAAAATAGCCGGGCGTTGTGGCGGGCGCCTGTGGTCCCAGCTACTTGGGAGGCAGAGGCAGGAGACTCGCTTGAGCCCAGGAGTTGGAGGTTGCTGTGAGCTGTAATGCCATGGCACTCTACCCAGGGGGACAGCTTGAGGCTCTGTCTCAAAAAAAAAAAAAAAAAAAATGCTTATCTTGAGTAGTTTAGGTGGATTGATTTAGGAGATTAACTTTAGAATTGTAATGTAAAAGGTCACAGAGTTGTGTTGATTATTATTTAGGTTAGGGATTGGCATGGTCTTTACTTTGAACTTTTATGTATAAAAGTGTAATTTTTGGAAATGGAAGAGTCTTGGACTCTTACTGTTTTCCAGAATCACCCACCTTCTGACAAAGTTTGGTGGACCTAACCGTCTCTGCATATTGACTGACAGTGACAGGTGGCTGGACCCTCTTCTTCCAGTAACATTTCCATTCCACACCTCGCTAGGCCAACACACCACCATTGCCCAGATAAGGCCAGAAGCCTTCTTCATGGTTTCCCACCCTCCTCTTGAAATATCCAGAGGCATCTTTTGAGTGTGCAAGTGGCTACCCCTTACCCAGGACCTGTCTTCTGAGAACCCTCGCTGCCTCCTCTCCTTACTGGCCCTTCAGTCCAATAGCTGCTCCAGTCAGCGTACCCCACTTCAGGGCAGGCCCCTCTGAGTCCTAAGAAGCTAGCATTAGCTGACAGTCAGTAAGGGTTTCCAGGAGAGGGCTCTGCACAGTCCTGTGTGATCAGTTCAGCCGTCAGAGATCTTTCAGGCCATCTCAAGAAGTCCCAAAAGGCTCAAGGAGGAATTTGATGCTGCCGTGACAGCTCAGCAGGCAACATTTGTCTCAGAGCTGCCTCTCAGCTCAATCTAATGTGCAGTCACTTTCCCACTAATGGCACATGGGTATGCCACATGTGTGCCTATGTATATGTGTGTGAGTACATGCTTACAGAAGCCCCTGGCACACACTGGCACCCACCCTCACACACCTGTTCAGGTGAAGAGACTGTAGGGCATTTATCTTAGACTCTCCACAGGGATTTGGAAAAGATAAGAAGACCTGGCCACATACACTTTTTGAATGGGCACCAAGCACAGGTTTCAGAACCACCCATGTATCCACTGACACACTTATCCTGATGACATCTGAGGGAGGTAATTTCATTACACATTACATATGAGAAAACTAAGCCTAGGGTTGTTAGTGGATTGACTGAAGCCTGCCAAGGAGCCAGGAGTTTCACCCCTTTCTTGCCTCACACACCCCATGTCCTGAGAGCAGCGGTCAGAGAAGGCTGCAGGAGGACTGATGTGAATTCTGGGTCTGGCTCTGGGTTCCTGCTTATGGCCACTTGCTATGGGAGTGCTTATCCTGGTCTGGGCTGTCAGGAGCCTCTGTCTACCCACCTTACCCTCTTATGGCTGATGTGTTCTCAGCTTGGCATATAGTAGGTGCTTGACAGATGTCTGTGTAATGAGTGAATGCCCTGCAAGGCCCCTCCTGGGAAGAGCCAGGATTAGTTTCAGGAGGTCATTGTAGAGGTCTGACCTAGAAAGCCAGAGTTCAGGAAAAATATCTTTGAGGTGGCTGCTTGTGAACTTGCAGTTGACTTTCATGAGAAGTCAAAATCTGCTCCAAGGCCTGGCACCCTATGGTGGCAACCATTCAGCACACCTACAGTGTGCCTCTACTAGTGCACACCAGCTGTGTGCACCTACCAACAGGTTTTCTATACAGTTAGTCCCTGTGGTCCAGATAATATGCCCAAGGTCACAGTGAGTCTGAGGCATGGCAGTCCTCTGAGTTTATCTTGACAGGTCCCACCTTATTCACATGAGAAGCCTCTGGAGGCATAAGAGGGGGTTATTCCTCTTGATCCCAGAACCTGGAACTGGAACCTATCTGAAGGGCACTGACCATTCCCATCTACTGCTATGGTGACCACACAGAAGACATGATTGCACCATTGGGATCAGTTTTGTGTGCTTCTCCTGCCTTCCTTCCATTTCCTAGGGCTGAGTTCCTAGGAATGAGCCCCGAAGTCAACACTTTTCCTTCCTTTCCTTTCTTTTTGGTAGTGGTGGGGGGCTATAGAGTCTTGCTCTATCACCCCAGCTCAAGTGCCATAACATCATAATAGCTCACAGCAACCTCAAACTCCTGGGCTCAAGTGATCCTCCTGCCTCAGCCTCTTGAGTAGCTTAGACTTCAGGCTTCTGCCACAATGCCTGGATAATTTTTCTTTCTTTCTTTTTTTTTTTTTTTTTT